ACACAGTCTGTATCAGTAGACTAGTAATACAGACGGTGATACTTACATACCAAAACTCTGTTAATGAATGTATAAAGAAGTATATATGTTTATATATCTGAAGAATCTGTGATATCATTAGTACATGTAAACACAGGCGATGTCAGTAGGCTAGTAATACAGACAGTGATACTTACATACCAAAACTCTGTTATTGAATGTATAAAGAAGAATATATGTTAATATATCTGAAGAATCTGTGATATCATTGGTACATGTAAACACAGGCGATGTCAGTAGACTAGTAATACAGACAGTGATACTTACATACCAAAACTCTGTTATTGAATGTATAAAGAAGTATATATGTTTATATATCTGAAGAATCTGTAATATCATTGTTTGAAAATCAAATTATTGACTTATTTTAACTAGGTGGTAAATTTTGCAGTGCAACTTATATAAGATAATTTTGTAAACAAACAAAAAATGTTAAACAAAAAATGCCATTGTTTGTGATGATAAGGCCATAACTACTGTCTTAATTGTCAATTGTTGGATCACCATTAATAATATTACACCTGTGTTACGTTAGTGGATCAATCCTCACCTTATATTGCTATTAGGTCATCATAATTCATACACAAACGTTAGATTTGATACATCTAAAACATTATCATACCATATAAAGTATGCAAAAAGTATCTACAAGTTTTATAATAATAAACGATCCTACTGGAGTCCTGGGCCTATTAGTTAGTGTACATGTAATGTCCAGCTGTTTTGTATGGCTACATGTCACATCCCATGTCCCAAAGTGTACATGTAATGTCCAGCTGTTTTGTGTGGCCACATATCACATCCCATGTCCCAAAGTGTACATGTAATGTCCAGCTGTTTTGTGTGGCCACATATCACATCCGATGTCCCAAAGTGTACATGTAATGTCCAGCTGTTTTGTGTGGCGGCCACATGTCACATCCCATGTCCCAAAGTGTACATGTAATGTCCAGCTGTTTTGTGTGGCCACATATCACATCCGATGTCCCAAAGTGTACATGTAATGTCCAGCTGTTTTGTGTGGCCACATATTACATGCCATGTCCCAAAGTGTAATGTCCAGCTGTTTTGTGTGGCCACATATCACATCCGATGTCCCAAAGTGTACATGTAATGTCCAGCTGTTTTGTGTGGCCACATATCACATCCGATGTCCCAAAGTGTACATGTAATGTCTAGCTGTTTTGTGTGGCCACATGTCACATCCCATGTCCCAAAGTGTACATGTAATGTCCAGCTGTTTTGTGTGGCCACATATCACATCCAATGTCCCAAAGTGTACATGTAATGTCTAGCTGTTTTGTGTGGCCACATATCACATCCCATGTCCCAAAGTGTACATATAATGTCCAGTTGTTTTGTGTGGCCACATATCACATCCGATGTCCCAAAGTGTACATGTAATGTCCAGCTGTTTTGTGTGGCCACATATCACATGCCATGTCCCAAAGTGTAATGTCCAGCTGTTTTGTGTGGCCACATGTCACATGCCATATCCCAAAGTGTACATGTAATGTCTAGCTGTTTTGTGTGGCCACATGTCACAGCTTATGTCCCATAGTGTCCAGATAACATCCAGCTGTTTTGTGTGGCCACATGTCACAGCCCTTGTCCCAAAGTGTACATATAATATCCAGCTGTTTTGTATGGCCACATGTCACAGCCGTTGTCCCAAAGTGTACATATAATGTCCAGCTGTTTTGTGTGGCCACATGTCACAGCCCTTGTTTCAAAGTGTACATGTGACGTCTAGCTGTTTTGTGTGGCCACATGTCACAGCCCTTGTCCCATAGTGTCCAGATAACATCCAGCTGTTTTGTGTGGCCACATGTCACAGCCCTTGTCCCAAAGTGTCCAGATAACATCCAACTGTTTTGTGTGGCCACATGTCACAGCCCTTGTCCCAAAGTGTACATATAATGTCCAGCTGTTTTGTGTGGCCACATGTCACATCCTATGTCCCAAAGTGTAATGTCCAGCTGTGGCCACATGTCACATCCCATGTCCCATAGTGTACATGTAATGTCCAGCTGTTTTGTGTGGCCACCTGTCACATCCCATGTCCCAAAGTGTAATGTCCAGCTGTGGCCACATGTCACATCCCATGTCCCATAGTGTACATGTAATGTCCAGCTGTTTTGTGTGGCTACATGTCACAGCCCATGTCCCATAGTGTACAATTAATGTCTAGCTGTTTTGTGTGGCCACATGTCACAGCCCTTGTCCCATCAAGGCATTGCAGAATCTTTGATGACTATGAAATGGGCTGCACCTATGAACTGCTATCTAGGCTAGATAGTAACATACAGTCCTGATCCAGCACCACTCCCAAGAGCAGTGTCTGGTAACTGCAGATAGGAATATTGACTTTCGACATATGACTGTTTGGTACTAAATATGGTAACCTTGCTTTTTCAGGCCACCATCATCCGATGTACACGTCACCCTGTATCTGTGGTCCATATAGTCTGTCTCTCCATCCCTGAACAGTTCTTGTTGTCACTATTTCTTGAGAATTGTGTATACCAAACAGATCTTTTGCAAATATTTTGTCAGGCATTGTGTGTCGTAAACTTAAAACATTTTTGACAGAACCAACTTCAGTGAAACTTTACAAAAACCTTCCATGGCTGAAGGTGCACCAAAATTCTTAATTCTATGGTCCCCAACCCCCAGGGGCCTGAGGGACGGGGGCCAAAAAGGGTCGAATTGATTAAAACTTCAAAAATCTTCTTCTCAAATCCCAGTTATGGTAGAATCAAGAACTCTTCATGGATAGGAATGCCCTCAGATGCTTTACCAAAATTGAAAATTTCATAACCATGCGGTCTCACTTTTCCCCCTTGGGATCTTGACTGACCCCCAAGTAAAGTCCCTTGGGCCCCTTGTTAGGTCTACTTTAATGGATAGTTGTGCCCTGAATATTTTGAGACTGATCGCAAAAACAAAATGGCAGACAAACAGCCATCTTGGATTTTGAACATGTTAAAAGGACAGAGTTAAGGTTTTTTCCTAATTCATATGTAGGTTTTCTTTGGTCTGCATTCTGTTGCTGTTGTTGAGAAGTAGGAGATTGTTCCACTTGGTCCCTGGTAAAGCTTTACATTGTCTATTTCAGAACTTACCAGGGAGACAAAATGACCTACAACTAGCTACAGTCTTAGATTTCTTTTAAGGTTTTCCCAAATTTCATGTAACTCAGAGCAAATAAGAGAATAGCAGAGAAAACAAGGGAAAGATTTAACGTTTAAAGAGCAAATTAAGATCAAACAATGGCGGGTGCTAATTGCAAGATCCCTCTGGGATTACGAAGCGTCATGTCCCTGATAAAGGTTGAAAGATGAATTGATTAAAATATTAATATAAATATATACAACTTTGTACATATCTTATACATATCATCAGCATGGTGGTATCTCCTGAGAAAATGAGACAATTTTGTACAGGACATAACTCAAAGGGAATTGGCAGAAAACAATGTTTTGAATTTAATGTTTTCCAGCATGTTACAGAATAGGAGACATCATGGCTACATTTACATGTAAAGTGGGATCGACATTTTGATTAAGCAATATATATTGCCATTGAACTGAACATTTAAGTTATGAAAATACAGTTTTAAATGATACTTGTATTGTGAATGTTTAACACCACGATGATCACTAATTTTATATTATTCTTTGTTATGTGGAGTTGTACCATCTCTGTCTCTTGGGTAAAGCTGTTGTAGGCACATGAACATTTTGGAATTTTATCAAAGATTTTCCACTTCAATATTTACTGTATTCATTTAACACCCAGATGTTACTTAACCTTCTCAATAGATGAAGACATTGGTTACTGGGTAGATTCAAAAGAAACTATTTTTTCTGGAACTTCCTTCTTTTTTTGGGATGTTCCTTTTTGTTTCAAAATTGATGGAAATGTGAATAATTTCTTTCAAATTTCATTTAAATTGGAAGAGTTTTTTAACGTAGAGGCTTGAAACTTTGTAGGATGTTTAAATATATGTTGGAAGATGTGCACCTCCTATTATGGATTCATTCCTGACATTTTTCTGGATTTTCCATACTATGGAACTTAGTCATTTTCTGGAACATTTCCTGTTATCACAGTTTCTCAGAAACTACTATAAGAATCCTTCTGAAATTCCACATATAAATCACCTTTGGGCCCTAGATGACCATTTTCTATTTTTTGAACATCTTCAAATCAAAAATGGCTGCAACTTCTTTCTTCAAATGCTGTTCTTCTGCACCAATTCGTAAAATACAACCAAACTTTCTCTCTTATAACAAATATTCTACATACTCAACAAATAAAACACCCTTAACTGTCTTATAAATACCATTGTACTCATCCCGCAACTCGGCCAATTGTGGCTTTACCCCATTTTTACGTCATATTTAGATCAGCAAATTTGTCTGATGAGATGGGTTCATCAAATAAAGTTATTTACAGTAAGCTTCTTGTTTCAGGAAAATCCTTAATTTTATTTTCAAAACTGGTGTTCTTTTTCATTATCAATGGATTTGAGAAGACACTTTTTTTTCTTGGTACAGATGTGACCTACTTTTTTTTCTTGGTACAGATGTGACCTACTTTTTTTTCTTGGTACAGATGTGACCTACTTTTTTTTCTTGGTACAGATGTGACCTACTTTTTTTTCTTGGTACAGATGTGACCTACTTTTTTTTCTTGGTACAGATGTGACCTATGAATTAAACTCACAATTACTGTATACTGGGAAATTTTTGCCATTGTTTAATTTTCACCTTTTTCATCCATGGACAAGAAGAGCAAATTGAAGATTGGGGCAGAAATGGGGGTTTAATGGAAATGAAGGGAATTGGAATGGTACAAGTAAGAAAATAACCTGAGGTGAAAATGTATACAGTTGATGGGTCTAAAATATCTTTGTCCCTAAAATCACATCAATATTTATTGTCTTATTATTTCAGATGTGCTTGGAGGGTACAATGGAACTATATTTGCCTATGGTCAGACGTCCAGCGGTAAAACCCATACCATGGAGGTAAGACTGCCCACTGAAATGACAGTGATGACTGATTTGTACAGTATCCATCCCTAAAATAGAAATCTGCTGAAACCGACCCTATTATCCTTCAGATAGACCATGTTAGGTTGATAGCAGAACAATGAAATGGAATTCTTGTGAACTAATCAGATGTGAGTGTGGATATTTATGAAGGCAAGGGAAAATGTCACTGATGGACATTTTTGTAAATTCTGTTTAAGATTTTGGAAAATTTAAGTGCAAGAAAGTCCTGGCGTTATGGAGTATTCCGAAACCTGGTGTCAGCTTATATTATATGAAAGAATCTTACAGTACCTTCCAGATCACCTTGGTTAATAGATATTTCCCAGGACCTACAGTACCTTGTAGATTACCTTGGTTTATAGATATTTCCCAGGACCAACAGTACCTTGTAAATCACCTTGGTTTATAGATATTTCCCAGGACCTTGTAGATCACCTTGGTTTATAGATATTTCCCAGGACCTTGTAGATCACCTTGGTTTATAGATATTTCCCAGGACCAACAGTACCTTGTAGATCACCTTGGTTAATAGATATTTCCCAGGACCTACAGTACTTTGTAGATCACCTTGGTTTATAGATATTTCCCAGGACCTTGTAGATCACCTTGGTTTATAGATATTTCCCAGGACCAACAGTACCTTGTAGATCACCTTGGTTTATAGATATTTCTCAGGACCTACAGTACTTTGTAGATCACCTTGGTTTATAGATATTTCCCAGGACCTTATAGATCACCTTGGTTTATAGATATTTCCCAGGACCTTGTAGATCACCTTGGTTTATAGATATTTCCCAGGACCTTGTAGATCACCTTGGTTTATAGATATTTCCCAGGACCAACAGTACCTTGTAGATATTTCCCAGTACCTTGTAGATCACCTTGGTTTATAGATATTTCCCAGGACCTTGTATATCACCTTGGTTTATAGATATTTAGGATATCCCAGGACCTACAGACCTTGTAGATCACCTTGGTTTATAGATATTTCCCAGGACCTTGGACCTTGGTTTATAGATATTTCCCAGGTACAGTACCTTGTAGATCACCTTGGTTTATAGATATTTCCCAGGGACCTTGTAGATCACCTTGGTTTATAGATATTTCCCAGGACCTTGTAGATATCACCTTGTAGATCACCTTGGTTTATAGATATTTCCCAGGACCTTGTAGATCACCTTGGTTTATAGATATTTCCCAGGACCAACAGTACCTTGTAGATCACCTTGGTTTATAGATATTTCCCAGGACCAACAGTACCTTGTAGATCACCTTGGTTTATAGATATTTCCCAGGACCTTGTAGATCACCTTGGTTTATAGATATTTCCCAGGACCAACAGTACCTTGTAGATCACCTTGGTTTATAGATATTTCCCAGGACCTACAGGACCTTGTAGATCACCTTGATTTATTGATATTTCCCAGTACCTTGTAGATCACCTTGGTTTATAGATATTTCCCAGGACCTTGTAGATCACCTTGGTTTATAGATATTTCCCAGGACCTTGTAGATCACCTTGGTTTATAGATATTTCCCAGGACCAACAGTACCTTGTAGATCACCTTGGTTTATAGATATTTCCCAGGACCTTGTAGATCACCTTGGTTTATAGATATTTCCCAGGACCTTGTAGATCACCTTGGTTTATAGATATTTCCCAGGACCTACAGTACCTTGTAGATCACCTTGGTTTATAGATATTTCCCAGGACCTTATAGATCACCTTGGTTTATAGATATTTCCCAGGACCTTGTAGATCACCTTGGTTTATAGATATTTCCCAGGACCTTGTAGATCACCTTGGTTTATAGATATTTCCCAGGACCTTGTAGATCACCTTGGTTTATAGATATTTCCCAGGACCTTGTAGATCACCTTGGTTTATAGATATTTCCCAGGACCTTGTAGATCACCTTGGTTTCACCTTGGTTTATAGATATTTCCCAGGACCTTGTAGATCACCTTGGTTTATAGATATTTCCCAGGACCTTGTAGATCACCTTGGTTTATAGATATTTCCCAGGACCTTGTAGATCACCTTGGTTTATAGATATTTCCCAGGACCTTATAGATCACCTTGGTTTATAGAAATTTCCCAGGACCTTGTAGATCACCTTGGTTTATAGATATTTCCCAGGACCTTGTAGATCACCTTGGTTTATAGAAATTTCCCAGGACCTTATAGATCACCTTGGTTTATAGAAATTTCCCAGGACTTAATCACAAGTTTTATCTCAGAAGTTATTGATTTGTTGTGTAAATTTCAGCATCCATAAGTGAATGGGTTGTTCTGATTTGTGTCTCTGCCAACAGATATGCATAATGTATATTTACTGGCTGTCTGGGTCTCACCAGGTTTGTTTGAATAGTAGCTCGTCTCTCATTGGCTTGCTCTTCCACTGGATGTTGGTTAGATAAAAGCCAAGATATGATTGGCTGTTGAATTTGAATTTGAATTTGACTTTTCATTCTGACAATATGTTTGTCAGATAGAAATGAAGTTAGTACAGGAAAGCAACCATTCTTTTATTTTCTTTGATCAAGAGCAATTTATTGTTGTGTATATGTATAACAAGGTAAATGTTCCATGTAGTTTTAAAGTCATATTTCATCTGATTGTTTACATTTGTTTTCCTCTCTGTAATATTTGGTATCTGTCAGCATCCTACCTGTTAAAGGAAAAAACCGAGGTTTGGAGATATAGAGAGCCTGCAGGGTTGTGATAGATATATAGATCTGTGTCAACATTCTACCTGTTGAAGGAAAAATCCTTGGTTTGGAGATATAGAGAGCCTACAGGGTTGTGATAGATATATAGATCTGTGTCAGCATCCTACCTATTGAAGGAAAAATCCTAGGTTTGGAGATATAGAGAGCCTGCAGGGTTGTGATAGATATATAGATCTGTGTCAACATTCTACCTGTTGAAGGAAAAATCCTTGGTTTGGAGATATAGAGAGCCTACAGGGTTGTGATAGATATATAGATCTGTGTCAGCATCCTACCTGTTGAAGGAAAAATCCTTGGTTTGGAGATATAGAGAGCCTGCAGGGTTGTGATAGATGTATAAAGATCTGTGTCAGCATCCTACCTATTGAAGGAAAAATCTTAGTTTTGGAGATATAGAGAGCCTACAGGGTTGTAATAGATGTATATAGATCTGTGTCAGCATCCTACCTATTGAAGGAAAAATCTTAGTTTTGGAGATATAGAGAGCCTACAGGGTTGTGATAGATATATAGATCTGTGTCAGCATCCTACCTGTTGAAGGAAAAATCCTTGGTTTGGAGATATAGAGAGCCTGCAGGGTTGTGATAGATATATAACTGCTAATAATCAATATCATTTATCAATGGTAGAAACATCATGGACATGTATAGCATTATAGGAGCACTGCCTTTACTGCTGGTTGGGGCATTACATTGATGTCAGGACAGGCCTTGTTATCAAAGAAGTGGAAATGGCTCTCATCTTGATCTCTTTCTTTGAATGTTTTCTTATGGGAGACATTTTTGGTTTTGAGTGTTAGACATTCTTCTGAGTCTGGTTTTGTTGTAACTTTCAAAAAGTTTCAAAATATTTGAAGTTCCCTACAGAGAACTGACAAGAGAGAAGTGGGCAATGCTCTGTACTTATATATAATTAGGACATCTTCATCAAAGAAGTGTATTTATATTTAGATCAAGTTTTTAATCATCAACATCTTGGTTTTAATATTAAGTGCTATGTGTGTACTTTATAAAACATCAGTTAAAAATGTTCAGTAAATCTCATCTTAAAGATCACTCCAAGTTTTAAAATTTAAGAATGTGTTTTTATATGAAGATGAAGAATTTCTAGCACTAATGATCTTTGAGCCTTTGCTGTATGGAGTTGAACTCCTGAGCTAATTGTCTTTGAACCATTGCTGTATGGAGTTGAACTCCTGAGCCAATTGTCTTTGAACCTTTGCTGTATAGAGTTGAACTCCTGAGCTAATTGTCTTTGAACCATTGCTGTATGGAGTTGAACTCCTGGTCCAATTGTCTTTGAACCTTTGTTGTATGGAGTTGAACTCCTGAGCCAATTGTCTTTGAACCTTTGTTGTATGGAGTTGAACTCCTGAGCCAATTGTCTTTGAACCTTTGCTGTATAGAGTTGAACTCCTGAGCCAATTGTCTTTGAACCTTTGCTGTATAGAGTTGAACTCCTGAGCCAATTGTCTTTGAACCTTTGCTGTATAGAGTTGAACTCCTGAGCCAATTGTCTTTGAACCTTTGCTGTATAGAGTTGAACTCATGAGCCAATTGTCTTTAAACCTTTGTTGTATGGAGTTGAACTCCCTGGTCCAATCGTCTTTGAACCTTTGTTGTATGGAGTTGAACTCCTGAGCCAATTGTCTTTGAACCTTTGTTGTATGGAGTTGAACTCCTGAGCTAATTGTCTTTGAACCTTTGTTGTATGGAGTTGAACTCCTGAGCTAATTGTCTTTGAACCTTTGTTGTATGGAGTTGAACTCCTGAGCTAATTGTCTTTGAACCTTTGTTGTATGGAGTTGAACTCCTGAGCTAATTGTCTTTGAACCTTTGTTGTATGGAGTTGAACTCCTGAGCTAATTGTCTTTGAACCTTTGTTGTATGGAGTTGAACTCCTGAGCTAATTGTCTTTGAACCTTTGTTGTATGGAGTTGAACTCCTGAGCTAATTGTCTTTGAACCTTTGCTAGAGAGAATTTGTATGGCTAAAAGACCTGGTCGATACCTGTTTTACCATCATTACAAACTACATGTTCAAGAGACATTTGAATGCCTGTGTTAGAGGAGAGTGTGTATTGATCAGGGACAACTAGCTAGCCTGGCAGAAATACTCCCATCATTGATCCACAGCAGTTCTATACTTCTGAGTAAACCAACTCTCAGCAACACTTTCTAGGAAATTCTGCAGGCCTGAGTTTAAGAATAAATTCATTGCTATGCATGGTAGCAGATATAT